CAACTTGACAGCAACTGGTTTTTTTGGAGACTGAAGATCTGGGTTTGAATTGTGACTCTAATACCTTCTAACTGTATGACCTTGGCCAAGTCACTGCCGTGTTCTAAACTTCAGTTTCCTTATCTGTAAAGTGGGCCTGACAATCTACTTCTGAACATCAGCCAATGAGAACCTTACGGATAACAACAGAACACTGTCTGATAGAGTGCTGGCAGATGAGCCCCTCAGGTTGGAAGGGACTAAGATAGCACAGGACCAGGCAACATTTTGTTTTGTTTTGTTGTTATATTAAGGTTGCCATGGGTGAGAGCTGACTGGACGGCAACTAACAATAACAACAAACTGGGATAAACTTCTGTTTTACAGGATGGCCTGTGAAGCTCAGGTGAGATTCTGCCTGTCTGTGCTCTATAAACTTCAAAGATTACTTGGTTTTTTGATAATTGTCAATATGTGTTCATGAAGCACCACACTCTGAACCTTGGATTGCCTCCGATCACTGTGCCATGTCCCTGATGTCCCTACTCCGTAGTTGTTCTTTGCTGCTGCAACAAGACTAAAGCCTCCTAGAAAACCTGATAACTGTTTATAGCTCTGATCAGCCTCATTCTGTGAGCCTGAGAAAGTCATTTCAAATTAGAGTTTCTAAATTTTAATTCCAAAGTGGGGAGCATGAAGACCTGCCTCCAAGGAACGTGGGTTAAGTTCCTTGTAAAGTGAAAATCCACAAGGCATTAGCTGCATCTTTCTTCCTGCTGGTGATGCCAGATGAGCCAGGTGAAGGGATGCTTCACAGCCCAGGAGCCTGCACTCACAGCTGCGGGTAAATCCTGTTGAGTATTTAGCTCAAGCTTGGTCCTTACTAAAAGGTCAGATAATTTTTCTGGATCAAGAATGAGGCTGCTGGAAGCCGGAAGTTATCCCAGTGTGAATTGAGATCTCATATGTCCTGTGTTGTCCCTGGAAGACAGTGCCAATATTGCAGCATTGATCACAGTGTGCCTCGTATTACAACTTCTGCTTCAAGCCTCAGTTTTCGTATTTATATGTAGATATGCTAGACCAAATGCAAGAAATGATGAAGTAAAAGAGCTGAACAGAAGATTTCAAAGGGTAGCTTGAGAAGACAAACTAAATTAATATAATGAAATGTGCAAAGAGTTAGAAAACCAAAAGGGAAGAACACACTTGACATTTCTCAAGCTGAAAGAAC